CCTAATATGCTTAATTGGTAGTAGGCTTTCGAGCCTATACAGCTTGGAGTAAGACAACATGCATAAAGAGGATGATGTGGTCAAAATACTCATTTGCCTAATAATTCTGCACTCCCTGTAGTGTCCCTTTAAACAAGAAATTCAGTTTGGTGAGAAATAGATTGATAACTATTATACCAGGCTGGTTCCAAACTTGCAGTAATGTCTTATTGAAAAACTGAAAATCTTTTGTGAGTTAGAAAATAGTTGGGGTGAGCCCCAAAAAAGGAAACCTTGTATTAATTGTAAGGAGGGCATATCATTGGTTTACGGAACATTGGAATTCCTTTTGTTTTTTTATATAATAGTTTTGTTCCAGGTGGAGAATAAAATAAAGCCAGACCAAACAAAGGTTAACCGTTTATGGGCTGATCTGCTTATTATTAATATTGCAATATGACATCCAAAGTAAAACCAAAAATCAGTATGGAAGAATGAGTTCTAGGCATTGAACAAAGACTTGTATACCTACTAAATATGCAGAATTACCAACAATATTTATTACTCTAACTGGTTCTAATTGTCCTCACAAAGGATGGTCTTGGATCCCAAAAATCACCCCATTTACGTAACAAAGTAGATAAGAAAAGTAACTAAAATCACCTAGGGCCAGAACATAGTTTTTTTTCCAACAGTTAATTAACTTAAAGGGACACTCCAGGCACCCAGACCACTTCTGCCCATTGGAGTGGTCTGGGTGCCAACTCCCACTACCCTTAACCCATAAACTGCAATAATTACCTTGCAGGGTTAACTCCTCCTCTAATAGCTGTCTACTAGACAGCCACTAGAGGGCACTTCCTGCTTCATTGCACAGGTTTTCTGTGCTAGAGCGTCGCTGTGTGAGGACCTCCAGTGTCGCTCAATTCCCCATAGGAAAGCATTGAAAAGCATTTTCAATGCTTTCCTATGGAGAGCTCTAATGCGCATGAGATCAGACTCCCCCGCCGGCTGACATGATGAAGGGGAGGAGCGGCGGCAACTCGAATCCACCGCTGAGAGACATCAGCGGGGGTCTCAGGTAAGTCATTGAAGGGGATGGATGGTGGGAGGGAGAGGGGACCTGCAGTGCCAGGAAAACTGATTGTTTTCCTGGCACTGGAGAGTCCCTTTAACCTACAATGCCCTCATTCTAGATTCCTCATGTTACTGTCTGACAACCATTTCCACCATGGCATGGCCAACCAGCCTTTTAAAATCTGTCAATTAGGCTCACTGGCCTGCATTGGGGACTGTAAGGACCCCTCCACTCAGAAAATATTGAACATTACACAATTAGTGGATACATTTCTATCACTCCACATACCTTTGTCCACATACCTACAAACCCAAAGTTACATCAACTCGTCTCTACCAAACTTTTACATAACGACTAGACTCACTCCCTTGATGCCTTGCTTTGGAATCCATCCCGAGTTCCATACTCAACAAGTTTACTTATTGTCATATTCGCATAATCTTAGATCATTCCCTCTCGGACAACTGTATCCATAAGTGGACAGTTTCTCTCCCAACCATTTCCACTGATGAAGTTCTCACAGCTACGAATAAACTATTTAAACTTCTTCCAGGTAAAATAGCACTGGATAGCACTGCATGGCTACCTAGCACCTGGCGTTCAATACAGAATAAGGCTGTCAACCTTCTCAAGCTACTTGTAGAGCAGGTAGTAGGGAGCTGGCTTGCTGCACTGCATTTGCGGTTGACTGTGGATCATGGAGTTTTGGTGGGAAGTGCGAGAATACCTAGCGGTCACCCTGCACTTTTTGGTGCTGCTGTCCTGGGAATTGTCCATCTTTGGAATCTTCCCAGACACACCTGGTTTAATCAGATGGTGCTGGCGGTGGCCATTAAAACCATTCTGCATGTTTGGATCTCAGTTGACAAGCCGACCCTGTCATTGTGCCACACCAAGCTGTCCCCTTTGTTTAGAATGGACTGGATCGAGGCCTCCGAACATTAGAAAGTAAGGTGTCCACATTTTTCAGAACTACATACATGACCATAGATCACTCATTCAAGGACCATTTCAATGCACTAGCTGGTATTCCCTAGAGAATACTTTGATAGGGAGGGGTGGAGTACTTGAACATGGTTCTCAGTGGGGATGCAACCTCATCCTCTTTTTCTAATATGGGAACAACATATTCCCTATATTCTACCAAGGGACCGAACTTGTTCAATCTACCTGCGTTATTCCCTCTGAACAGGCACATGGTTACTGTTTGTTGGTATTTATTTCACAAAGATTTCACTGGCATCTCCCTCATGGGGTCCCAACCTACAGATATATAGTGTATGATGCATATAAAATGTAATTTAGAACAACATTTAACTTATTAAACCGACTGATTTCTAAAAACATTTATTGTAGTTTAAAGACACATTATTGTGAGTATTATTGCTGTGGAGCTCTGTTATACACTCAGACACAATAATAATATGGAGCTCCTAGAAAATAGCGACATTAACATAAAAAAGAGGGACAGAGGGATTTGGCCTCAAAATAGGGACTGTCCCTTCTAAAAAGGGTCACTTGGGAGGGATGTGACTGGCTCCTATTCATGCTACAGATTCATGTGAGTGCTACAGGGGGTGGAAAGCACCTACATTCATGTTTTGTTGTGAAAACTAGGGATGTAGATCATTGGTGACAATGTTAGACATGATATTCTCCCATATTACCACTTTGACATCATCGTCTCTTCCTAGAATCACAAAAACAGCTACAAACTCTTTAATCATATAGTTGTTGCAGCAAATTTGCTACTGTCTAGGAAGATAACATTGGGGATACACTGCTCCTACTGAATTATATGGCACATGCCGCCCACAGAACAATATTAAAATATCATAGAATTTGGAACCAGTTCAAGGAGAGCTCTGTATTTCTCTTATCCCTGTAGGTTACATATCCAAGCTGTCTCTTTCTCTTGGTTGGGGGAGGGAGTTGTACTTCTTTTACTGACACAGTATTAAAATATAATAAAATCAATACAAATAATAAAATTAAAAAAAATTATCCATCCCATAAATTCTGCTGGAAAGAGGCGTATGGGACAAAATCAGTCTTGATTGGTGGAGCCTCTTCCTGTGGGATGGGAGCTGGGGATCTGCCTGCTACTTACTTAGCAAACACAGCAGTATAACACAGCAGTATTTAAAAGGTAAATATTTATCTATTCATTATTTTTTGCATCAGGTTTTTTATATAATTTTTTTATGCCATTAAAAATGGAGGTGTGTTTTAATATCAGACTCCTTTAAGGATAAATATATTTTTATTGTGGCTAACTTTCGTTTATTTATTCCCTCACCCTGTAGACTTTCCCTATTGCTGCCCCTTTACTTTTTGTGAAATTCTAGAATGCACACAAGTACACACACTGGACACTTAAACTGTAACTTGTATTACTGTGTAACATTGAGACAGACTCATACAATTTATTGTGAGTTTTATTATTGTGGCACTCTGCGAACACTTAGGAAAGACGTACACTAGGGTAGGAAAAATAGGAATTTGGATTTCAAAGTAGGATACTACTTAAAGATATAAAAGTGGTTAAATTATTCTATTGATCTCGGGACATATTCCCTTGTAACACAACAGTGCTATGGCTGCACTTTTCAAATCATTCCACAGAAGGTTTTTATTGCCCAGAACAATTGAGCTGGGTTCTTTGTCTTAGACTCTTTATTTATTAATGGGCAGCTTAGAACATGCTGTTTCTTAAATGGCGTCTTGTTGCTAATAAATATCTTATAACATAATTTTGCCATTAATGTCCGCGTGAATAGAGTCTGGAATAGGATGACTGGAGGATGACACAATCTCGATGAGCATCATAATAATTAATATGACACTGCAAATATCGTAATATACTGTATTCAATCCAGGCAGCTCATTGCTAAACACCATAACTACTACAGCTGTATTGTTTATGACACAAAGATTTTTTGGGTGAGGTAAAGAAAAACGCACCTTTGGTGCTGGGAGAGCCCTGTTCATTTTTCAAAAATGGTATGACTAAAACTGAAGGGTCTGCAATCGAAGACTCCTTGAACCATATTACAATGGATATGATATACTCACCTTACCTCCGATCCAGTAGTGCCATGGGCTCAACTTTGTGGGCGTTACTGTTCTGTAACACCCACCTCTGGTCTGTACTTTGCTCCGTCTGCCATGGTTGTTATGTGTGGAGAGCAGGACTGCCAGTGGAAGGTCTCTTTTGCTCTACCTTGTCAATCAATTCGTTGGCATAAACTCTATGCCAATACATTGACTGAAAGGTGGGAGAAAGACCTATTTTTAAATCGTTTTTTTCCCTCCCAATCTATACATTCGCTAGCAAATCTGCTACACAATATATAGACTTTGTTAAAGTTGTAACAGGCATAACAGGTCAAATAAAACATTTTTGCCCCCCGTAGAGCATAGGGTGTTAATAATTAAATGGAGGAGACTGTTTGTATATAGTGTTGGTGTTTGCACGCAAGGCTGTTTTTGCGTACAATGCTGGTGTTTAAATGCAATGGTGTGTTTCTACTAATGTTGACGTTTGAATGTAGAGGTGTGTTTTTGGTAGCATTAAAGGACCACTATAGTGCTAGGAAAACATATTTCCTGGCACTATAAAGTCTCTAGGTCCCCCCCCACCCTCTGGGTCCCCCTCCCGCCGGGCTCTAGGGAATGGAAGTGGTTAATCCCTTACCTTTTTCCAGCGCCGGGCTCCCTCGGTGCGGAGATCTCTCCTCCTCCTTTTCGCCGTCATCGGCTGAATGCGCATGAGCGGCAAGAGCCGCGCGCGCATTCAGCCAGTCCCTAAGAAAGCATTGACAGCGCCCCTAGCGGCTGTCAATGAGACAGCCACTAGTGGCTGGATTAACCCATTTGTAAACATAGAAGTTTCTCTGAAACTGCTATGTTTACAGCAAAAAGGGTTAAACCTAGATGGGCCTGGCACCCAGACCACTTCATTAAGCTGAAGTGGTCTGGGTGCCTATAGTGGTCCTTTAATGTTTGAATGCAGGGGTTCTGTTGTGTGTAGTGTTAGCGTTTGAATACAGGGGTATGTTTGTGTGTGATGTTGGTATATGCATGCAAGAAAATGTTCACATATGCAGATAAATTGTCACGCACACATACAGATGCACATTGCCACACACAGAACCACACATATACTCTGCCACACGTGGATGCACACAGACACATAAACACACAGATACAATCTTAGACATACAGACTGACACACACAGATTGACACACGTGCACAGGTACACACACTGACACACATGGTCATAAACACATGCACAGTTAAACACTTACACATACACACACACATGCACAGATACACACTTACACATACACACACACACATGCACAGGTTAACGCACTGGCAAAGAAAGAGACAACAGAAACATTGATAGGTATAGACCTTATTGCTTTCAATCTTGCCACAATTAATTGCATTATAAGTTCCAGAGAATGTAGATTAGGGGTAGGCAACCGTAGACAATCCAGATGTTGTGAACTATATCTCCCATGATGCTTACCCAGTATTATGGCTGTAAGATCATTATGTGAGATGTAGTCCACATCATCTGGAGTTCTGAATGTTGCCTACTCCAGGACTAGACAAAAATAAACCAACTCTTACTGAAATTATTATAGACTAGGTCCAGCACCTAGGCAACCTTCGGCACTCCAGATGTAGTGGACTACATTCCCCATAATTCTCTTACACTCATAATGCTGGCAAAGCATCATGGGAGGTGTAGTCCAAAACATCCGGAGTGCCGAAGGTTGCCTTTGCCTGATCCCAGTCTACACTAATTTCAGTAAGAGTTGGGTTTCTTTGGTCGAGTCCTGGGGTAGGCAACATTCAGAACTCCAGATGTTGTGGACTACATCTCACATAATGATCTTACAGCCATAATACTGGCAAAGCTTTAATTATAGGAGTCTACACTGGCTGTAGCAGGTGTTTACCGACTGGCGAACAGCATGATTGGGGCACATGGAAGGAGGAATAGATCGAAAAAAACAAAAAACAAAATAGTAATTTTTGTACTTTATAACTATAATTCCTAAAAGACTCATAGACAAAGAAAAATTTACATTTTACAGTTCATATAATTCAGCCCACTGGTTGAGGAAAAAAACAAGGCAATATATTTGGGTAGCCCTAGGTGAATATGTAGAAGATGAAGGTAAGGCCAATGTTTTGCAGGAACAACTGTGATGCCAACGTAAGCTTGTACTGAGACCACTCTTTCACAACTAAAAGGGATTTTGGCATGCCCTTCTCAGAATGTTTTGAGCTAATGATTGTCACCTTTGTAGAGAGGAGCGTCTGAAATCGTAAAAAAAAGTAATCTGTTGTGAAATTCTGAGACAAGCAAAATATTGTTAATAAATTATTTTATTTAAAAAATAAAGCATTTATTAACATTCCACCCCATAACTACTTCATCTCAATGAATTTTGTCTTACTTCACTGTAACGGTTTCAAACTGTTTCATGATTTAGAATGGTTTAAAACCGTAGTTTTATCACGCTGCCCCTCCATATCCAGCCGATCCTCTGGTCTAATAGGGGATGTTAGCTTGGGCCGCAAGAGATGCCCTCAGTTTAGCATTGGCCGCCCATGGTGAGTTATCGTTTTTTTAAATTTTTTATTATTATTCTTTATTTTGTGTCATTCAACTTGGGGTTACATCAAATTCAAGAGAACAATTCATCACAGATTTAGACAATAGAAAGTTGTTGTCATCACATTAGACTTGTGTGCATATATACAACAGAGAGTGTGGTGCGTGCTTGGTTTGAGAACAATATGGAATTCGTTTTTATTATTATAATGTTAAGAGAAGTTCCATAATACATTCACAAAAAGTGTTTTCCCCCTGGGCTTGGGTAGAATGTGCTACAAGCTGGAGCCCTACTGTGAGTAGACCTCCCCAAGGAGTTGGACCTCCCGTGTTGTGGGATTAGTGGTGGCTACTCCGCGTTTCTAGATAGGGGGGGGGGGATAGCGTGGTGCCTCTAATAGTGCAATTATATCTTGGCTGTAAACGAACCAAGCCAAATGCCCGCAGGAGCAGGCAACTGATATGAGTGAAGTTTAATTCTGTGAAGTGTCCCCAGAGTGTCTTGATCATTTAGGTCATAGAGGTGTGATAAAGGTTAAGTACCATGAGGCGAATTAATCAAAATGTAAAACAAAAGAGAAAGAAAACAGTTATAACAGCATGAGCGATATTAAGCTGTTCAGTGGAAATTGTGGGTGTCTCTAGGCATGCAGAGACCCTTGTGGCTAGGGATTGGCTATCCCTGCAAGTCTCCGTTTACAGCTATGTCACAGTGCTGGTGGGTTGGGGAGGGTTCGTGTTGATTGAGGTGCAAATTCTGGGATCTTTGCTGGGTCTAAGTGAGACAGGCCTGTCTTGCTGGTCTTCTCCACCTGCAGCAGGCCCAGTTTGCTCATGTGTTCTTCCAGTGCCTGGTAAGTTCTGGCTCTATGGGTTGCACCCCGGATGGTGTACAGGAGTGCTCGTAGTAAACCCTACAGGTAAGGAATGTCTCTGTCCCGTAGTTGTTGCAGTAGGGGTCTCAGGGACCGATGCCAGGATAGTGTTTTTCTGGTGAGATCCGGGAAGATCAATAGCGAGGCTTCCTAAAATAAAATCTGGGTTTTTCTTCGTACCGCTGTTGTAGAATTATTAGGCCTCTATAAGTCTGTAAGGCCCCTTTAAATCCTCTTGCTATACCTCTAAGAGGCCCCCATAGTTTTACAAGAAAGCTTTGTCTATAGAACATAGAATTTGCATGTCAGCAAGAAATAGCTTTGATAAAATGTGTATTTACTAAAAGCCTTGAAACCTAACCTTGAGAAACTAACAGTGCCAGGCTACACTCTAAATGGATAGCTGCCAAAAGGCCCCTCCCGTCGAGTGAGCTCCTCATGTTAACAAAATGGCGCTAAAACCTGGAGGAGACAATCATGACGAGGATAGTGACCTAAGATGGTACACCCCGTAGGGAGGGCATTTTACTAACTACTTAGCACCTAAGCCAATTAACAATGTCTATTTGTCTATATCTTGATTTTCTTCAATGATGTAATAATGCCTTTAAAAGGGCCTGCGAGCCTGCTTTTTAAACAGAAGCCATTAAACTTCTCCGAAGTTCTTTCATTAACCTGAACCCTGTGTCTCAGTGTGAATTTACTTCTGCGTGCACGCAACTTTATTATCTTAATTTGGACAGGAACAGATAGTCATTCAAACTAATTGGTTTGCAGTAAATCATCTACTACACCGCCACCTGAAGTAGTGCCTTGTACTGCACGGACTGGAGCCTGAGGATTAGGTCTGGCGTTGCTGAGGATGGTGCGCCTGCCGGTTTTGGTAGGCGAAAAATGCCGTCTAATTTAACTGCTTTGGCGTGTTTAGGGGGGAGAAAAGCAGCAAGAAATCTCCGAATAAAATTAGGTAAGTCCTCCGTAGTCACTGACTCCAGAATTCCCCTGATCTTCAGATCGTACCGCCGTCTGTGATCCTCCAAGGCATCTATTTTATTGTCAACCTGTTGATGTCGCCGTTGCAGTTACTCTATTCCACGTTCAACAGCCGTAATACTAGTATCATGAAGGCTCTGTACGGCTTCAAGTCGAGTGATCTGAGTTGCTGCTCTTTCCACGGCTCTCTGGAAGCGAGCCATGTCCCCCGCTATGTTTGTGAAGAGCTCGGCAAGCATTGCTCGAAGTTGAGCTGCAGTGACAGGTTCCCGGTACTCAGTTGCGGGAGGGTTAGTTTCCGTCTTTTTATTTATTTATTGAGGCCCCCTCTCCTGGATTGAAGAAAAAGTACTCAGAGGAGTATGAGGATCCTTCTCCAAGGGACGCCATGTTTTCCCATGCGGTATGCTGTGATCTTCGGAACAGTTCACCTATGTTCCGTCCTGGTGGACTTTTGTCGGCCTTCGTTTTTTTTGTGTTTGTGGCCCATGGTGCCTCTGGCCGGCTAGGTGATTTTAGCCGAGGTAGTTGCAGAATCCCACCTAAAAACAGTTTATTTAGGTTTGTGGTTCAGGAGCTCAAATAAAGTGCGACTGCTCTGGCTCACCGCTAGGATCTGCCCTCCTCTCCCCACTACCCCCCGCCCCCCTCTCCCCACTACCCCCCGCCCCCGTCTCCCCACTCCCCCCCGCCCTTACGGTGAGTTATCGTATTTACTAAAAAAAATTGTGATGTTTGAAAAAGAAATTGAAATGTAGATATCCACAGAACTGTATATAGTACCTCCGTGTATGTTCAACTCAATGGAATATGTGTCCTGAAACTGGAATGTGATGTTATTTACTAAACCTTTAATATGCATTTAAAAGAAAATAGAGTCTCACACAAAAAAAGCGAAGTTATAGGTGATTTTTATGGCTTTATTCAAAGGTGTCATTTTGGAGAGACACGTAACAGATTCCCTTTTATCAAGTAAGCTTTTTTTCCCCCAGCCAGCACATTCAGTATGGGCCACTAGGAGACGCCAGAAGCAAAAACACATTGAGTTTATAAGTACAGTAATTATTTACTCAATGTGTGTTAGTGGAATGTGCTGAACACACTGTATGATTCAATTGATTAACCATGTAATTATCTGTTTATAAAATATGAAATAGAACAAATTACTTTATCAAAGAGCTACAAAAATAAGTCTGAATGTCTACCTTATTGTGGCCTTTCTTTTTTTGTGTATATTAGGGTTCCGGTATATCTCCCCCCCCCCCCTCTCCCCCCGCTTTTATCTCTAGTGATTGGATCTCTACTTCCCATTTGTCCCCTTTACCCCCGTCCCTATTTCCCTCCACACTTCATTTCTTAATATTTTGTACAGACTCATCAAATCACACAGTTTCATTGTGTGTGTGTGTGTGGGGGGGGGTCTTGGGGGGCTGACAATTATTGGCCTTGGAGGGGCACTTGTAAGAAAATGGCCTTTGTTGCACACAAAACCCATTGATCTCTATGAGGCTGGTCCGACTCAAACTGTACAAACAATATATGTGTTTGACAGATGGAGACTGATTTGCACAGCATAGCAGAGTATTCTCAAAGATCTGGGCCTGCCTGAGTGATCGACTACTGTGACTCCATTGACACCAGTCTCTCTGCAGCTACTTGCAAATACCACTACACCATAAATACACACCATAGCCCTACATACTGTACTGTAATACCCCAGGTAATATCCCAGTACACCGGTA